CAAACATAACCATACAAATATATCATGGAAACTAAAAGGTGAAGACATTGAAGAGTGTTGGGGGAACAGTGAGTGAAAATAAGAAGAAAAGCAAATCAAATGAGAAGACTGACTGGCCTTGCAGTAATCTGGAGTGGGGGGAAGGGAGAGGGGCAATTTCCCTCAGAAGGTTAACTGCTGAGATTCTACAGCCTCACCACCACCCCCAGGGCTGTATTTAGTAACTCAAACTCTACTCCATTAAATGTGTTTGGGTTCCCGGTCCCTACCCTCACTCTCCCCTGTGGAGTGAGCCAGGAGACCTTAGAAGGTAAGGAGAATGTTGAGAGCTTTGGATCTGGGAAGAGCTTGGAAAAGAAAAGCTCTCAAAGCCTCTCCCCTCCGGCTCTAGCCCTGCTGATAAGACTGAGCAAAGCTAGCTGACAAGTGATAGGAAACAGGAATTCCCAGACGGTTTAACTCTTTCCATACCGCGCAGCTGACGCTAAGCTAAGCTCCTCTGCTTTCACCTTTCCTCTGCATACAACAGGGCTCTGGCTCTCCTGCTCCCCAACCTTTCTAGACTCTACCTGTCCCTTTATCTTGATTAGTTACTGGATACTTTGCTTCCTCAGTAAATCTCTATCACCATCTGATATGAAACCTCTCCACCTTCAGGCCAGCCTACAAGAGGAACACAAGAGTTTTTCTCATCCACAACCTCCCAATCTCACCCAACCCCTTCACGTATACTGGTCCAGGCTTGCTGGTCAGTCTCTAAAGCCTACCGGGTCAATATTAAACTTGTTTTGCATATGAGGGTTCTAAAAGCAAACTTCCCATGTCCAATCTCAGTAGCTGAACCCCACAACCATTCTCGGTTGCCTGGCTAGCTGTAGAATCAGAGGAAAGGGGTCACCACCCCAAGCCATATCTAACTTTGTTGAGTCACTCCTGAAGTCCCAGGTATTACTTGGTGCACGTTCAGGCCTCCTACAGAGACAGAAGACAAGAAATCTGTACCTAGCAATGGCCAGCATGGCTGAAGCTCAAAAGCCAGGAAGCCCTGCCTCCCCTGGAGCCTGAAGGCATTAAGGTGAAACCCTCTGAGACACTGTAATTAAGTGTAAATGAATCTTCTTTCAGTAGACTGGAACTCAGATAAACTGCCATTGTCATGCAAAGTAGCTTTGCACCTAAAAGCCCTTATCCAAACAAGCTATTTAATTAACTTCCTAATTGCCTCTGACCTGTACTGACCCTTCCCTCCCCCTCCCTCGACCTACCTACTAAAACCCACCACCTTCCAGATTCCATTTTAAAACACATAATTTGGGGCTGGGAAGGTGGCTCACCCTGGGTTCGGTTCTTCAGCACCACATAAGCAGAAAAAACCCCAAGTGGCACTGTGGCTCAAGTGGTAGAGCTCTAGCCTTGAGCTGAAGAGGTCAGGGACAAAGAAAAGTCCTAATTGTGCTAAGTGCCAACAACAAAGGCCATGCATGATGGCCTTGTCTTGCCATGACTATGGTAACAATAATGGGGAGAAAGGGGCACGGCTTGAACCTCTGCTACAGCAATACATAGCCCCATTAGCTCCTGGAGGCGAGTGCCCATTTACCATCCAAGGCTTGCCACAAGAAGGACCTGCAATGCCACTACCCACGGTATGTGTACAGGAACCCTAACAGACTTGGGTGAAAGGAAGAGACAGAGCTGGAGCTTCCAGTAGGCATCCTCAGGTCTGAAGCTTCACTGGCCACTTCTAAGAGTGCAAGGAGGGATGCTAAACCTGTTAGTGGGAAAAGCTCCACGCTGTGGAGAGCAGGCAGAGGGGAAGTTAGAATAAGGATGAGTAGAATGATGGGATGGACTTAACAGGGCTGAAGAACACTAACAGAAAACAAATTATCTCCTGGTTTCTGCCAAGTGCTTTACAGGGCAAGATAGAATGGAAATCACAAATAGAATCACACAAACACACACACACACACACACACACCACGCTTATCACTTTTAAACTTTGTGTGCGAGTGTGCCAGCACTTGCAGCTTTTGCTATTTAATTGGAGATAAGCGTCTCAGAGCCGGCTTCAAACCTGGATCCTCAGATCTCAGCCTCCTGAGTAGCTAGGATTACAGGTGAAAGAGCGCACCTCTCCTTCCCCCCCCATCCCCCTGCCATCATGCCTGGCTTCACTTTTAATCTTACAGAATAAATCTTATTCTTATTCTTTTTTCTTCCCACTAGAGGAAACTGTGATCAGAGAGGTGAAGTGACTTGTCCAAGAGCACATAGTCTGTGATTGGCAGTCAGGATTCAAATACCCACCTGGAAATCAATGATCTTGGTGTACGGATTATCATGTTGGAGGAGAGACTAGCTACCCAAAATTATTCTGCATTGTATTATAGACCTTACTCTTCCCCCTCTGGGCAAGAATCTCTATAGGGATGAAGGAGAAGGCAGAATAAAGGAACTTTTAGAAGGGAAGGGCTTTTTAGGGCTCAGTCCTAAGAAACTGAAGAGTCCCAGAGAAAACTTTTCCTTCCAGGAAAGAAACTTCTTGTCTGGGGCCATGGTGGGGGAGGGGGCATCTGTAAGTCATATAACAAACACCAGGCCTCTCCCTTTTATACTTCATTCCTTGGGTGGGGGCGAGCAGAGGAGCCATCTCTATTTGGGAAACAGTGGAAAGCAAAGTATGGTGAACCTTGCACTTTTTATCTATTAACTGTGGGGGCTTTGCTGGACCTAGGAAGGGCATAAACTTTCTTCCGAGGAAGTTCTATTTCTGTAAGTAAGATTCTGGACTTGAGAAACATCTGTTTCTTGAGGGGAATTCCCTACTTTCTTGGGCTTGTTTTTGGTTTTTGTTTGGTTTGGTTTTGTTTGGGGGAGGTTCCAGTCCATTTTAGGAATAAATAAAGCTGGGAGTCTTTGAGGCAGCATACTAACAAAGGCTTGGAACACCAAGCCTTTCACTCTCTGGCCTGGAGCTGCCCAGCTGGGCACTGTAGCTGTCACTCTTCTCCAAAGCCAGGTATTTCCAGGGGGCATCCATGTGGAAGAGCAGGTGCTGCTTTGACTTCAAATAGACAGCCCAGAAAGGAAGAAGACTCCTTGGCTCCAGGGCTGATGTGAGCGGGTTAAGACAGTAGAATTTTGGACAGAATCTGTTACAGGGTCTTTTGTCTCACTTTTAGAAAAGGCAACAAAGAAGGATTTTAAAAGGCTGCCTTGGTCTGCAGAATCCCGATGGAAGCAGATGGCATGCCAAGAGGTTCCTGGGCAGCCCCAGAGGCCCCAGACCTAGGAGCCTTATTGGAATGCAATTACCCTAAGAGCTGGCTGTTAGGATGAAAAGGCAGGAATGCAATTATGGAAGAAGCAGGTCACGAGCTTTCATTGATTAACCTGTCCTGGCTGATTCCATTTCCCACCAGAATTTCGGGGCTCTGAGGGTTACCTTGTACTCTTGGGTTATGAGAAAGGAAAACAGCCACTGTGAATAGGGAAATGTCTACAACAGGGTTCAGGAAGGCCCAGGACCTCTGAAGTTGCCCAGAGAAGTTTAAAAAAATGCCTTAGGAAGAGAATCTATCACTTATCACTTGCTCAGACTCTGCTGCCCCAAAAGATGAAGAGCCAGTACGTTAGAGGGGTGCCCGATGGAGGGGGTTATTAGAAGAGACCTCCAGGAGAAATCACTTCAAAGCTAAATGGCTGCTGCTACCTGGGTTCACTTCAGTAACTTAATTGCAAATCTCTTAGCGTCTCTGGGTCTTAGTTTTGATCACTAAAATAAGGGTTAAAAACAAAACTTTACATCTTAGGGGTTGATGAAAGAAGAAGAAGACATGAAGAATGAAAGCCCTTAGCCCCACATTCTAGCCCTTGGTTGTTTTTTTTTTTTTTTAACTCACTACATGGGAGTCATTTTGATAGTGATTATCTCTTCAAGTTCTAAAAAGAAAGTCAAATATACAGACATAGTCTTCTGAGCCGGGTTCCATAGGAATCCCCAGGTAAGATTCTGCTCCGAAATTCAGAAGGCGTTGGGAGCCCCAGAGTCCCCTAAACACTGCTTCCTCAAACCTTCCCCCTATCCCTAGGGCACGTCTCCCCCAGAGAGGCATCCGGATCTGACCATTCTGGGAGACAAGCTCTTGGAAGTGGGGACACAAATGTGGTGCCAGTGTGGTGGGGGGACTACCTAAGCCTGAACCCAAGCTATCACAAGCCATCCCTAACAGGGAGCTTCTGACCAGAACAATCTTTAAGCGATTTCTGCCTGTTGGGATGACAGATGGGTTGAGATGGACTTTTCTATCCCAAATGCTCTAGAAACCAACTAGAGACCCAGCATCTCCTGGATAACCAGTGTGGACCAAGAAAGCAAACACCAAATACCTTCTCTTCTCATCTGCTCCTCTCCCCTACTCTCTTTTCTCTTCCAGACCTTAGGATGCTCTCCTCCCTTAGAACCTACAGGTTGCTGGACACCTGTAACTCTCACACCTATAATCCTAGCTACTCAGAAGGCTGAGATCTGAAGATCGCAGTTCTAAGCCAGCCCAAACAAGAAAGACCATGAGACTCTTATCTCCAACAAACCACCAAAAAGCCAAAAATAAAAGTGTAGCTTAACTGGTATAACACCGGCCTTGAGCAAAAAAGCTCAGGGACAGCACCCAGGCCCTGAGTTTAGGCCTCTGGACCACCAAAAAAGAACCTAGGGGTTGCACCAGGAGCCTTCCATCCCAGCCTCAATTGCTCCTCCTCTTTCCATGCTTCCATTACAGCTCAGCCCTTGTCTCTATGCATGCAGCCCAAACACCAGCAGGGAATTTCAGAGGTGAAGGCCCTGGGAAGATCATTATTCCTCAGTTCCCAGGAAAGAATATACGCAAAAAGCTGGGAGGAGGAGATGTTTCTAGCCTGTATGTTCGTTTATTCATCAATCATTCATTTATTCATTAATCATTCATCCGCCACCCATCAATCATTCATCTGCTTACTTATTCATTCAGTTTGTACCTCTTGCTTGCTTTGGTTGCCGCAGATGTTGGTCTGTTCCTGCTTTGATCTGTCCCCAATTTTTTTGTGTGTGGCAGCTGCACAGCAGAAGCCTTCTGATGAACCTCATGGAGTACCTGTCTACGAAGGCAACCAAAGGGTCAATGCTGAGCTGTTCTCTGCCTGCAAGGTCCCTTCTGTGTTAAAATCCAGACATCTGGTCCAAGGGTCAGTGGGAAGGGATGGGAGAGACTTCAGAGGGGTCTCCAGGGCCATGCAGGGAAATAATGGTCTGACATGCCTCACTGTGTCTGAGCTCTGCCTAGTTGAAAACTATTATTCTGGTGTTTCTAGGCGGTAAGGGACAACAGGAGACATTCTGAGCCCCTGAGCCTGGCTCTGAGGCCTGCGTTCAGCATGGTGGACTCAGAGGACACCGTATGGGGGAGACTGAGACAGCAGGTTTGGAGCTGAAGCTGTGGGCCTCTGGACAAGTTTCCCGGCTCACCTCATCTGGACAAGTTTCCCTATCTCACCTCATCCTCTAAAGTCCACTCAGTCACCACCAGAGGTCCTGTACAATAAGCCAGGCTACCTTCTGCCTGTGCTATGAACCTCGCCCTGACTTTCCATTCATCAGAACAGAGCCCAAACTGCTGGTCCCTTTAATCCCCCACTAACTTCGGCCTTTCAGCCCTGCCTGCCTTGTTCTTCCTAACCTGGCCAGCCACACACCTGCCTCAGCAGTGCAGCTGTCCTTCCCCAAAGTTTCCTCTCCTTCAAGTCTTTCCTCTGTTGACACCTTCCCCGGGAGCCTGCCCTGCCCCCATCCCATTTAAATTTGCAAACCACATGCTCAGATGCACCAGCTGAACCCTCCCCAAACCCATTCTTTCACACTCATCACCCTCTAACATACTCTATAATTTACTTCTTGTTCCTGCTGGTTTTGTCTGTCTCCGACTGCTGTGACCTACTCTGGAATAGGGGTCTGGGTCTGGTCTGTTTCCTTCTCTGATCTATCCTAAGGACATTCTGAATGCCTGGTACGGAGGGGCTGAGAAAATTTCTCCTTGAATGCATGCTCAAATGAATGAATGAATGAATGGGATGTAGGAAGTTCTGAAAACAAAGTTCATGAAGCCATCAGTCTGTGGAGTTTGGAGCTTTGTAGAGTAGAATTTAGGATACCCACAGTGGTCTCTGACAGCTACGCTGGGACGAAAGGAGCCCCGGAACTTGCCCGCTGCTGCCCAGCTCTCTCTCCGAGGGAGGGAAGGTAGGCAGCAGTGTGGGCGGGGATTGTGCTAACTCAAGATGCCAGCTCCGTGCTGCTCTGGGGCTGGCTCACGCTCTGGATGTCATTAGCTGATTTGTTCTGCTCTGCAGAATGTACTTTTCATATTTAGGCAGGAAAAAAAAAAAGCTTTCGATCCTCGTGGCCTTTCTTCTGTGAGCTGTAGCACATGGCCTGCTTATTATGAATTAATCCTCTAAAGAGCATGTTCATTATTCTAATTTAATTGTGTTTCGTTTCAGAAAATAACTAAACCCAGTGCGGAATAAACTTCCAACGCTGATCGGTTTTCAAGAAGTTAACCTAAGACAAAATACTGCTAGAGGGCAGCAGCAATTTGGAATCATTAAAGGGAACCCATGTAAATAATAAAAACAAAACTAAAATGCAGAATTAAATTAAGGAATAGGAAATTAAATTTGTGAATCTAATCTGAAATTGAGGCCTCATATGCACAGGCTTACCCTGGCTTGGCTCTTCGCTCAGGAGTACTCAGGCCCAGGAAGTTCTACATGGGGTGCAAGCCCCAGGACACAGACATGGCAGCTCTTCTTCCCGAGTGACAATGTGTGAGGGAGGAAGGGGGCTCTTCTTCTATGGGGTCCTCTCTTTTGCACATGAAAGCTGCATTGGCACATCCACATCTGGATGACTCTTGCAGAGCCCCAGTGTCTGGGGAAAGAGAACACACACTGCTATGCACTAAGAGAAGGCGCTGGGAATGAGCAGCTAGATGGGGTATAAGGGGGCTCCAGGACAGAGCTATGGGAGGGAAAATGGCTGTTCTTTACCTCTGGGGTCTAGCCCCTCCCACAGGTGACTAAGCTCAGGCCAGACTAGTGGACTTGCCCTCTGGCTAGGCAGTGGTGCCTAAGAAGGGTCCTGACCTTCCCACTAACAGCGTGAGAGCCCAGTTCCACATGAGGGACATCCAGCTTCAGCCCTCATAACAGGTGAGGTCTTTAGTAAAAGGGAGAGTGGGAGAACCAATGTGCAGACTTTGAGGTACCAAGAGTTAGGTGTACAGAGTTAGCACATGGCTCAGACTCTGTTGTATATTTTTCCAGGATTCCCTTAGGCTCTGTCCCTGGATGTTTTCTTCCCATCTCTCTTCTCAACGTGAAAAGACCTCAGCCTTCCAAGCCACTCAGGCCAGTCTACAGTCACAGGGCTTCCTCCCTACCTTAGACTGAGCTTGAACAAACTCTCTCACCTTCCTTCACCTCAGTCTCTCCATAGGTAATAATAATACTAATACTGCCCACTTTAGACTGTCCCAAGCAATAGATCAATTAAAGCACAGAATGAGCTCTCCGGCACTTCTGCTATTTCCTGTTCTGTTTCACCCAGTATGTATGTGCTCACAGGCATTCTGTACACATACATACACACTTATGTCTACACAGGATGTCCATCCTCTGTCAATGGCCTTAGGCTGTTTCTAGAACAAGAAGTAGTGGGGGAAGGGGGAGAAAGTCCAATTGACTGCTTTGATTCACAAAAGCAAACATTCAAACAGATGGCCATATCCGAGCAACTGAGGGAAGTTTCCCATTTCCATCTTCATCGTGGGTGAAACTTCAATAAATTGGCCACCTCAGAATTGATCTTTGGTTTTGAAAAATGAACCAGCAAAAGGAGAAGAAGAGACATAGAAACAAAGCCACTTTTCCTTGTGTAATTTGCATCCTGATCAAGGAAATGATGCACATACTTTAGACCACAATGCAATTGATTAGTCAGTTAATTAAACTGTGATTACATTTAAAACTATCAAATATGGAGAGAAGAAAGGAAAGAAAGAGTCAAAAATTTTCTTGAAATTCCCTGATTACCTCTCCAATTTCATTTTGTTAATTATTCCCAGAGAATGTGCTAGATCTCTTGCCCATCCTTTCGCTTGTGCCTATAAACGAAAGCAACATGATGCATCACCAATCTCAGGACAAACCTAGAAACCCCAGAGCATCTATGTGGTATGGATATAAGCACCCATGAAAATCCACTTTAATGATGACAGACAGGGGAAGCAAGTTTTGACCTCAGGCATCAGGGACAAGGGGTTACCCAAAGATAAGGACCAGGGCCAGGAAACTACCCAGTTGACCTATACATAGATGCTCAGGCAAATGCTGAACAATGAACCTGCTGATCTTAAAGGTTGATTTAAGAAAAAGGCATCAACAGTCAGGTATGGTAGTTCTCATCTGTTATCCAAGCTCTCTGGAGACTGAAGCAAAGGCATTTTGAGTCTAAGACCAGCCTGAGCTACATAGCAAGACCTTGTTTCAAAGACACCAAAACAGAAGAGAAGAGAAAAGAAAGAGAAAAGAAACCAAAAATAATAAGAAAAAAAAAAAGGACACCAAAACCTTGAGATACCGAGTATGACAGAAGAAATCCCCCACAGGAGCCTTGCCCGGTAAGGCCTTCACCTGAGAGGTTGATTTCTAGAACCTTGGAATAAGCTTGGCTGGTTAAATGACGTTATACACTGCTTGTTTGTGTCCCTCCAAAATTCACACTGAAACTCTAACCCCCATGAGATTATATTAGAAGGTAGAGCTGTTGAGAGGTAATTAGGTTTAGATGAGGTCATACAGGTAGAGCCTTAGGAGGGAAATAGTGTCTTTATACAACAAAAGAATTGACTAGAGCCTCATGAGGACCAATTAAGAAGATGGCTATGTATAGACTAAACCTTGATCGTGGACTTCCCAGCTTCCAGATCTGTGAGCAAGATATGTTTACTGTGCAAATCACGTATGGTATTTTTAAATTGATAAGAACAAATGGTTTCTGTATTTTGTTTCATTTAGGAGAGGGGGTGCTGGAGCTCAAATCTAGGGTCTCAACATGCTAAGCAAGTTCTCTACCATTGAGCTACATTTTGCAATCTGGTGGCTATATTTCAGTCCTCAATAAAAACTTCTGCTTCCAGAAGATGTACTTGCCTACTGTAAGAGGATCTATATAGAGGCAAACTCGCCATTTGACTGTGAAGGCTCAAGTTATATCTCCTCAACAGAAAAGCTTCCAGGGTCAAAGTGACCTCTGACCTAACCAAATCCCTTTCCATATGGCATCAAGTATCTTATGTGACCCACCCATGCATAAAATGCATTCTCTCTCTGGACAATTTAAACATTATTGTTAAAATATTAACAATAATTGACAATATTTACTAAGCACTTACTAAATGCCAAGCATTTCTTCTAATCGCTTTATAAGAATTGGTTCATTTAGGGATGGGATATAGCTCAATGACAGAGCACTTACCTAACATAATGCTGGGTTCAGTTCCCAGCATCACACACAAACATGGTGGTGAAGAGGGAAGGAGAGAGAGAGAGAATATATCAGCTTATTTAATCCTCATATCCACTATGTGAGAGGATATTACCCCCATTTGATAGATGGGGAAGTTGAGACCACAAAGATCCAGCACAATGACCATTATAACAACAAAATGTGGCAGCATTAGTGTTTGAACCCCAACAACACACACAACTCTGAGGCCTTCAGACCCAATTCCCCTGCTTCCAAATCTGTACAAGCCACATAGAAAGGGAATTCTCTGAGCCTTCAGTGATTCACATCTGGAAAGGAGGTTCATGTCTTTTAGTTGCCTTCATGCCACTTTTCTCCCTGGATCCTATGGAACAGAGAGGTTAGAAATTCTTGGTCATCTTTGCCTTTGGGCAAATGTTGTGGCCTAGGCTGTGTGGGCGATGTGGGTTATCCACACATAAGACCATGCTAGATTGTGTTTTATGGATCAACTGCTCCCCCCGCCCCGCCCCCTCAGGTTTGGCATCCTATAGAACATGCCTAGAGGAAACAGCCTTGTCAGTGTGCAGGTACTTGTGTAAATTCCAGGCCCTGGTTTTAAGACATACATCTGCAGTGGGCATATGTACTGCAATAGATGAAAACAGGAATGGGTTTCCTTTGTATCTGTATTATTAGATTTGACCTCCCATCGCAACAGCAAAGAAAGAGTGGAAAATTAAAGGTGATTTGATATTAGCCTCCTATTCATATTAGAAAAAGTAACTGCTCTTGCGGTTTTCCTCACAGAGGTGTCTTTATTCATTTGACATGCCTTTAATAACTAATTCTAGTTGTCTGCTTGCCAAGAAAGATTTCCTACGGGCAGACTTGAAAGTGACTCGGAACTCTTTGCATGCCCGGCTTCAAATGATCCCAGAACAGCAAACATTCAGCTTCCCTCCAGACTTCTG